AATAAGAAAAAGAGTATTAAAATTCAACGAAAATACCCAGTTGGAGCAAGCAGGGGCAGGGGGGAAATATCAATATTTAAGAGGAGATTCTTCTCCCCCCACACACATTAAAATACGGCATGTCTCAAAGAACTTTCTTCAGCTTCCAGAAAAAAAGGTCACCTTTTACAACCATGAAAATACCTGCACAAATTCTAGTTAAAGTCTGAATCACCATCCATTTGTGTTCAAAAGAGCTTGAAGATGTCTCTAGAATATTTAGGAATATTTCTTTGAAGAACACCTGAAAAATAAATGAGGTAAAGGACGTGAAGTAAAGTCTAAAGCTTCCTAAGAACTTTTACCATTATGTTAACTGCACAGCGTAATTTCTATTTAAGAATTTCTTGAATACTACTCAATAAATTACATCTCACATGTTGAAATTTAAAGACACAGTACAACAGTTCACTTGGCAAACAAACATAAGCCATTATTTCTTAAGCTACAGTATCTTAAGCTACAGGCCTTGTATCATTTCAGTATTTCAATTGAAGTACTGGAGGATCCTAAGAATCACAGATAAAAACCCCTTACCTCAATCTGCATTTTTAAGTGGGTCTTAAAATTTGACAGCAGTGTGAGAAAGATGGCCAGAGAGAGCTCAAATACATCAGGAACAGAAGAGACTCCATTTTTAGATAATGCCACACAAAGATATTGCTTGATTGCATTGATGAACATCTCATGTGTCCTGAAAACTGGACCAGCATTTTGCAATACTGACAGAAGAAGCTGGAGAGAGACTATCTTAGAACGCAGTTCGTGGGATCTAGGAGAAACACACCATAAAAATTTTCACTGCATTTCTGAATACACATACTTGTACTCAGCCTAAATACTATAGTATTTCTTCCATATTAAGAAAACAGAATTGCTATTTTTAACTATTCCAGACAGACACTCAGCCTGCAAGTAATGCTGGACCATGTTAATTTGGAGATGTCCAGGAAGATTATCCGTTTGGTAATAGACGCTACCAGCTACTGAGAAGTAGAATAACCAGCCTGACTGGAACAGTGGGATTCCAAAATCCTGTTCTGTAAAAAGCAGCTGCATAACTGTGTCTCCCTTGACTCTAAAAGCTACCTGGAGATGACAAGGAATAAATCCAGTATTATTACTTGGGATCTGGTGGTCCATCACCAAGCGGCTTCATGGAGAGTTTGCACAGGGACCTGAACACAAGGAAGGCATCCTTTTGAAGGACATGGGAAAATCTGGCAGCAACTTGATGTCCGGGTACATCTGTTTCCTAGCAAACAAGAACCACATTAAGACCTCAGTAAGGCAAAGGAAGAGGGCAACTGGGAAGATTCCACAACTCCTCAGAGAATCAGCCACAGATTAAAGAGCAATACACTTGCCCAGATATAAACCAAACTTAAACAGGACTACAAGAGATTCAGATCTTTTCATAGTACTGACTGATTCCCCTCCCACCCCAAAGTGGATAAATACCTTAAAGCAGCTATTTTCAACATGTACTTGATCTGAATTTGCTGCTTCCCAAACCTGAACAGGACTTATGTATTAAAAGCCTCTGTTTCCTCCCTCCAACATCCCAATAAAATTAGTTGGCATAATAAAAGATTTCTTGGTCCTTATACATAAAGATACAGTGAAGTTATTTACCAAATTATCAGTGGAGGAAACTGATTGTCTGTCATCTGGAATCCCATTTGTTTGTACATTTTCACTACTAGAGCCAGAAAGAGCAATATCTGAAGTCTCTAATGCAGGTAGAGCCTTGACTGTTTCTATTACATGCTTTTCTTCAGCCACTGAAGTAGAAAAAAGAAAAATAATTGAATTAATCTGTTGAGTTGCTTTAAAAAAGTGTAATATTTGTAAAGCTCTACCATTGGCTGGGGCAGACAGGAAGCACTAGTAAATCAGAGGGAATTTCTCAGCCAAAGGAAGTACTCCTGTGAGGCCGTAAATGTCTTCTTACTGCCTTAGAAAGCATTCTTGACAGGATGCTTAGTAATGAAAAATAAGTCCTTCACTTTTATAATCACAGGAGTATGTGTCAGGTATTACACACACATCTATTTTATTTCAGAAGATTTCACTACCTTCCACAGCTGATTTGACAACATCTTCCAAGATGTCTTTCACCATTTCTTTTCCTCCATCAGTTGTTTCCTCTGATGAAACAGAGAGATAGCTTTGTTTAGGAAAACAGAAGGGTTAAGGAGGCAGAAGGGATAAAACAAGACTTCAGTTACCCCAAAGCAATTTTAGCACTTGCAAATATACTTTGATTAATCTCTTTACTTCCCTTCCCTTTTACCAACCTAGCAAAATCCAGTCAATCTTCAATATAATTTATATACAAGTTTTTTTTTTTTATTTATATGTGTGTGTATGTATATATAGTGTGTTGTATATACACTTTTATTAAAATTCTAGGGCAAACATGAGTCTTTCTTCAAAGGTAAAAGGTAATGTCTAAGCGGGCCTGATACATCTAAGGATGGTCTGTGTACTCCAAATAACTAACATGCAGATGTGAACGTGATTTAGGCCAATAATCCCTACTGCTCCCCCTCCAAATAATACAAAAGAACATTTTCCAGTAGACACGTGGTAACTGAAAGACAACAAGCACAATATATTCTTTTTCACCTGATACTGAAGGAATCTGATGTTGCTCTGACTTCACATCTCCATTTTCTGTCTGCTCAGGCTCACCGTTAGTTAACTCCATGCTTACAGGAGCAGTGGGTTTGCTCTCCTGATAGCTGTGCTTTAAGTGACTCATCTTTGGGGACCTTGTCGCGATTTGAATTGCAGGAGACTGGGATTTCTGTTGATTTGTTTTTTCCACTTCCCTGGCTTCTTGTATCTTAAATAAATAAGTAAATAAAGTTAACCTGGGGCAGAAAACGTAAGAGGAACAAATGTCTATGACGACTGATGTTCCTTTATGAATGCAAATGCTAACAAGAAAGAGACAGTGTAAATATATTCATTTAGCCAGTCTGATTAGAAAGATTTGCTTCTAATTTAGCTACTCTGGAAAAGTGCTCATCTTGAAAGTATCTCATCGTTTATTTATACGCAGCTGCTTGTCAGCAGCACCAGCACCAAACCTTGTTATCAGGCATAAGCCTCACACCTTATTTTAAATCTGCCCATAGGGCTCAATAAGCTTCACTGCAAGATTTGGCAGATTCTTTTAAATAACAAATCAACAGGTACTCAGCTACAATGAAATACATACATAAAAATATTCTGTTCATTTTTCAAGCTTAAACATTTGAAATGAGCAAAAGTAACAGCTACATACAGCTTGATTTTCCATCCGTGTAAAAATGACATTTAGCATCTGTGTAAGGGTAGCTTTGGCAGTTGTCTGATTAATGAGATTTTTACTGGCCAAATAGATGTTGTAACAGGTTCTAACAGTCTGCAGAATCGTTCCTTCATGAATCTCGATATATGGAGATGTTACTGCAGTGAGGAGAGCCTGAAAGAGTACACAACACAGTAGGATTGAAATTAAGCAAGCAGCAATATTTATCATTTAGGTCTTCCTCAATAAGCTGGAACTTTGTTACGGAACACATACATTTATTTATAAAAAATGTAAGAAACTTGTACTTCTTTGAAAGCACTATTCAAATCAGAAAGTATAACAAAACTTTCATAGATTAGTACTCTCTCATGAGCTGTTAAGGAAAAGGAATATATCACATCTAGCTTTCCTTTGAGAAAGGTAACCTCCAAACAGTGCCTTCAGTTGAAGTTCTCTGGAAATATTATATATTAGTCTGACAGCATCTCATCAGCCTCTTGAACACAGACATCACTAACCTAAGAGATGAACAGCACTACCATCAAGCTGTCCTATTTTTGCAACATAATGCCACCTGACCATGGCTCAGCCCAGACTGAAGGACAAGAGTATAAGCTATATATGCTCTGTTACAGCAGGAAAAAATACATTCCACAAACCTATTCGGACACTGTGAAAGCCTCTCTAAATTCAATGACACATCTAACTGTAGGAGATGGAGAAAATGGGTCCTAAGTAGCACTTCACATTCAAATTTGTTTCAGCTACAAAATAAGAGTCACTCACAAAAAAACATACACACAACACACACTTAAAAAGCACCAAAATACCTTAATTATTTGCAATTGTACTCCTTCATCTGTTTGAGGACCCTGAAAGCAATTGCAAATTGTTTCGACTATTCGGTCAATCAGTCGTTTTCCAGGAGCTCCGCTATCTGGAGCATTGCCAGTGATGTGTCCATATGCAATGAGTTTCTAGGTAGGAAGAATAGTGGTTAGACAGTCATATACTATTAAGTAAAATGCAGGCAAGTACAGCATGAGAAGAGGGGTTTAGATTGCCTACTTAGCCATCTATAACAAAGACTAAGTGTTAGCATTAATCTGACTGGCACCTGCTTGGACTATTCACATGTATAGACAAAAAGGATTAAGAGATGCACAGACTTTTGCCGTTCACGTGATTTCTAACTACTGCAATCAGACCATTATTTATTACCTGTCTTTGCACCTAACTGCAGAGACATTCTGCCCAAGTGAGGCCAAGATCACACAGTACTTCTGTAACTGCCCGTTTACCCTTTTCAGTCTGCCCAGGGCTGAGCAGAACGCTTACCTGTAAGCAATCCAAGGAAGTGCTGACAATGCGCGGAGACTTTGACTGGCAGGCCAGCTCGAACGGAAGGAAATACTTATCTGCTTCAATGAAGTTTGCTTTGGGTGGAGCGGCAGTGCCTTCTCTAGGCCGGGGAGAAGAGTTATTTACTTTCCTAAACACAACACAAACTGCACCGCCTCCATTTTCAGATTAAACACACACATATGGTATATAGCAGCATACAAGTTTAATGCAAATTCCTTTTAGGCATACTTTTAAAAGAAAGTTGTTCTTTCTTCAAAATCACACAACTACAGCTTTACATTTTCTTATATTGCACCTGACCTCCTTCATATTCAGATTACCTCTTCCCCCACTACATCCACCATCGCATTGCCTGAAATGCAGGGGAACTCCTACACATCCTAAAGATGAGCTTACCTAAAACAGGCTTGTGTGAACAACATTAAACAAAGAGACACAGAATTTGGGACTCTAAACCATAACAGAGTGCTACAAAGTGTAAAAAAAAAAGTGCAAAAAGTGTAAAAAAACACATTTCCATATGAAATGCAGTGGCAGTTATGGCTCAGATGCACAGAGCCACAAACATTAGGTAATTGGGACACATGGGCTATGCCCTGTGCTTTGGCGGGGAGGGTGTCGCTCAGTATCCACAGGCTCCCTGCCATAACTTGCACCTACTCTCACATTCCCACTATCATATTAGCTAACTTGCCATTGTGTGGTAGAGTTTACAGTAACTAATAACTTACCTTTGCTTTTCCAGCTCTGTTTTTATTTCATCTGGAAGAAAGAAAAGAAAAGAAGATATTGACACCCAGTATAACACAAACATGAAAAATATAATAAAACAGAGATGTTTCTAACCAAAAGCTTTGCACTATAATATTTGTCATTCCTTTCCTGTAACATCTTTAATTTCCTAAATCAGAGATCAAGAATAACTCTCTCATTTGCTGAAAGGTCCATTGACTTCTACATCTTCTATTTTTTCCAAATATTATTAACAAAAAAGGTACCTTTAGAAATATAGTTTTCATTCAAGAGGAAGTTTATATACAGAAAGCCTTAGTCAGAAGAAATCTTTAAGCAACTGCACAAACCACCAGTTCAAAGCATCAGATATTGTTGTTGTAGTGCCTGTCAGCCTGCTCATGGTAAACTCTACAACGTGACAGCTGAATAAACAAGCTCCCACTCAGAGACCAGACATCTTCAGTGTGTGCTGTCATCTGCCAAGAGGGCTTTTTTCTCTCCCCCACTTTTGAAAGTTTCACTTTGGGAGATGTTTTCAGAAACTTAACTTGTTTCTTGGTAGTTTCTATTGCGCACAGCGACACGTGCAGAGATCCCAGCACAGCTGCCTGCGGATGGGCACTCCAGACCGACATGCCCAGCAATAGGAAGAGAAGCCACAGGGCATCCTTAGCCAGGAGCGATGTGACAAGAATGGAGGCAACGCTGCTCTCCCTGCATGCAACTAATGTAAGCAGCAAAATTCAGGTAGTTACAGACCACAGCGTGTCACAGCTCTGTTCAAACTCCCCCTCATTTCCAACTCAATCACAAAAGCAGATTAAGCCCAAAATAACCTATTAATTGTGTCTGCCACAGAAAGCTACAGGCCAGTTTATGCCTGTTCCTTGCCACTTCTCAGCTCATGACCCCAGCCACACTGACCCCAGCACAGACACCAATTTGTGCATCTGGGTGCTCCCTGTTCCCTACCCTTATGGTATCTGTAGCAGAAACTGTATAAAAATATTCATCAACTTAAAAAAAAAAAAAAAAAAAAAAAAAAAAAAAAAAAAAAAAAAGCAGCCTTCTCATATAGTATCAGCTAGGCAAACAGCAGAAACTATCATGATCCTGAGGATTTGAAGCTCAAACGCCTCCAGACCCCAGGGTTGAGCAGGACCTGTCAGTTCAGCAGCTTCTGCAGTGCTGCTCACATCCACGTTCTTGGGATTTCAAATATTGCATGGCCAGTTACAACCACTAAAATAAACAAATAGATAAAGGAGAAACTACTAGTGTATTTAATTTCTTGCAAGGCCCATTTATGGATTTTCTGCCCCTCTCTGTCAGTTCTGCAGAGGAGTTAGAGCAGCACTTGGGAAGCCTAAGCTACACAACAGCTTCGCACCACAATCTCCTGCCTCAGGAGGCTCAAACCCTGCAGCAAGAGAAGACTGACTGATGCCCAGGTGCAAGCACACACTTCTGCTGGGTATAACCACAGAGCACTACTATTAAGAGCCCAGGATTACCAGCCTTGTCCAGGAGAAACCCAACCCCAGAGGAGAACACGGTGCTACAAAAGCCAGCGAGGACTTGGGAAACACCGGTAGGAAATCCTTGAGCGCTCCCTCCCCGCACGCAACCCACCAACAGCTTTGGGCAGGACAGCGGGGCCTCCGTTGGCCCCCTCGGCCCAACAGGATGACAAATATTACAACCGATTTTTCTTAACGTCTCAAGTAACGAATACATGGAGCAGTTCCTCACGTAACAGGTTTACAAAATGAGACCATTTTCACTTCCCAGTCTTACACAAGTCAGCTGCAAGGCAATGAGCACCAGCACAGAACAGCAGCCCATGCCTGGCAGTGTGGAGCTAGAATTCATTTAGCAGTTTTGGTTCAGGTACAAGGCTAGTTTTGTGATAAGCTGCTATTTCAGAGCTTGGCTGATCAGGAGAGTCAACAGATTAGAGGCCACAGACTGATTTTGACGGCTGGTTAAGAAATAATCATGGATTTGGGTGCCAAATAGACAAGGCAAATCTTAACATAGAACCACATCTTGAATCACCATCCTCCTCATTCCAGTATCCAGTGGGGACTGCCCCATGCCAATGGGACCTTGCTATTGCTGCCTTAACACAGAGCTTTCTGGACACACTTTCAATGTCAGAATGCTTAGTCCTGCCTCTGGGACTTGGCAAAAGAAGACGTATTTTAGCTACAGTCACTACTCCAAGAGCTGCAGGATGCCAAGATGCTCAGCAATAATATAGATATTGCTGATATTTCAGATATCCTGTAGAATCAGGGCTTATAGCATTTTAAATCACTGCCGGAATGCAACATCCTCTGCACTAGACTAACTATGCCTGAGTTATAGTCAAGTGGTTGTCCTTGCACTAGACCATTTGTGTTTGGAAAAAGAAATGTTTTGACAGTGCTTTGGCCAAGCCAGACTCGACCTTTTGAATTCTCACGGGTGTTTCTAAAGCACAAGAAACAGAAAGGTGTTAAAAGTCTTTGCCCCCACACCTCTCCAGCTCCCACTCCTCCTCTGCTGCACTTCCTGAGCTGCCGATGCACCTAATTTTCACCATCTCTCAGTAGAAACTGAAACCTGTCTGGTATCAACTGGTCTGGTGACCCTGTTACCCAAAGACACCTGCAACAAAACAGTGTAGTTTAAAAAAAAAAAAAAGTTTTAGATGCAAACTTCATGAAGATGTTAGCCATAAACAGACACAATCAGACCTTTCTCATGTTCCCTCATACCGTAATGATTCCTTTTCCAATAGTTGCATAAGATACTGTATAGAAAAAATATAAATAGATCCCCATATTACAACAGCAAAAACTTCACTTCCAGATGCGCTCTGAAAGTTTAATAAAAATAAAATCCTATAAAGGTCTGATCAAATCCCCCATATCTTATCATATGAAGCATTTTCCAAAACAGGATGAAAAGGTCTGCATTACAACGGTATTTTAGCAAATAATATTGGCAGAAAAGAACAAACGATGGGGCAAAACCAAGTCGCAGGCATGTCTCTGCTCCTGATTGCATCAAAATAGTTTGGAAATCTCATCTGAAGCGCTCTTTGGTGGTCTGACCACCAAAACTGAGCGCAACAGAAGTTGTTGCCTAACTGAAGTCCCTCTTACCATGCAAAGCCCCAGGCAGACACAGCCAGAAACCTGCTGTCCCTGTCACTCCTCTGTTCCAGGCACAGGAATGAGGAAAGGGCTCGGCCCAAGGCCCCTCCACAGCTGGAGGATGCAGCAGAATTTGGCTCGGTGTCCAGGCACTCCAGCACGGCGCTGGCCCCTCGCTCCGTGCTGGCAGCACCGGCGTTGGCTGCTCCTGCCGGGGACAGGAGGCGCAGGCAGAGAGGGCACCAGCATCCACGGGCAGCCCGGTACGGGATACCCACGCAGTGCGACCGGCACGGCCCCACGGCCTCGCGTTCTCCGGAGGCGAGCACGGGCTGTGCACTCTGTGTGCCCAAAGGAGACGCTGCTGCACGCTGCCTGCACCGTGTAGGTTTGCTTGTGCTTAGAACTACATACTAATATACCAAGCTATACACTAAAACAAAGGACAAAAACTTGCCTGCCTGCTGCTAGGTGCATCCTACGCTAACATCCAGGTTGCCCTCGGCGGTCACGGCCGGTGCCCGTGCGGAAGGCGGCACGGAGCCGGCGCGGGAGGGAGGGCACCAGCAGCGCCCGTCCCAGCTACCTTAAACTTATCAAGAGAGCCATTTCCACCTATTGATTCTATTGAGCCATCAAAAAAAAAAAAAAAAAAACTCTTTAGTGCAAGCTGCTACGGTGCAGCTGCTACTTTCTCCTCCTGGCCCCAAGATTCTCAAAACGTGCTAGTCAAGAGGCTTAACTAGCCTAAGAAAAACAAGGTGTTTCTAGACGTGTCATTTGTATCAAGAGATTTCTTAAGCAGCCATACAGATTCCCAGACCGAAGGTAAGGCTTAAAAAATGTTTTCGTTAATTAACAAGTTAACTGAACAAGTTACACTACTTACAAAGCTCACAAATAGATATACTTGGAGGTCCTTAGGCAAAGGAGGTGACACAGCCAGGCTGGCTGCACGGTATGTCACCAAAAAGCCCTAGTAGAAGACCAAATAGTCCTATGAGAGCGAGGTGCACAGTTAGCATCACACCAACACAAACTGGGGACATCGTCTGCGTTCTTCGTGGGGGAGACTAGCAGTATATTTAGTAAGAACCACATGCATCTAGAGCTTCGCATAAATGCTTATTAATCATCTAGTTATACACAATACACCAGCTGTCTGTTGAAAATCAGTTTCCCTAAAAATCACAGTTTGCTGTAGCAGGGTAGGACAGCTTTTCTGCTGAAAAACTTCATTTCTCTCAGTCTCTCCTGGGATTTAGTGGTACTAAGAATCCAGGATACAACTACTACACCTACTGACGAAGCAAGAGACTGAATGAAGGAATCCATTCAAGCTCTGCTTACTCAACATTAACACTGAATATTTCAAAGGGGGAAGGAGAGGGGGAAGAGCAGAAACGCACAGAAACTGGTTTTGTTACCAAATCCGTCTCCAACGACGGATACCTAACGCTGCTTTGGGTCACCAGTGTGAGCTAACAAGCCCTGCACAGTTCCGGGAATGAATAAGCACTACTTTTCTTTCACCCTTCCCAAGTACTTTCTGAGTCTATGATACTTCTCATTTCTACCAAGCAACAAAGATATTTTGCAGTCCAGAAGAGCAGACTATTACTAGTATAGTCTGAGAAGTATATTACTGAGATAGGGAGTGGAAGAGTATAAGAACAGTTTAAAATTAGAATCAAATATCACCTTTCTTTTCTCCTGCATGAGAAGGACATTAACTTTTGGCAGTAACTCATGTAAGTAGTCTCAATGTTTGACTAACATTTTAAAATAAGCAACACATGTTAAAGAAAAAAAGAGCATCACCCCCATAATTAAAAATGTATTCATTCATTCAATCTCACAGGGAATAAGTTCAGTTCGAATCATTGAATACATCTACAGCTAAACTTTTCCCAATATCACTGAGTTGTCATTACTACAGGTGAATACTTTGGCATAAAATGAAGCAAAGTATCCAGCCAAACAATAATTTAAAGGTATGTGTAATTAACAGGAACACTGCTGTGGTAATACAACTGCAGGAAACATAAATAGCTGCAGGTTTGTTTGGCTCGGCTGTCTGTAAAATACACCAGTTCCTCTGTATTTAAAATAAAGATGCACCACAGCCTTCCGCCACGGAGCCAGACGTACCACTTACACATGGCCCATGCCGTTGCTGACTGCTTTAAAAGCAGTTTTGTACCTCAAGGCTCCATTAAAGAGACCACTGCATAAATACAACTGTACAGCAAATCCCAGGTACATAAAATTAACTTTACATTTCTCTAAGTGACTTATTTTTACTCACGGTTCGTTACTAAAGACTAATCGAGTTTTATTATTACTAAAAACTGTGAAGCTTCTTTCTTGCCCACCGAGAAGAAGCTTGGCCTGAATTCCTCAGACTGCAAGAAAGGTTCTTCTCACATTCCTTGGCATATCTACTATAGTAGAGGCTTGATTTCATTAAAAACTGCTAGCTAAAATAAGTCTCAGTTTTATCTAACTTAAAGTATAGGAGTCTTTAACTTAGGTAAACTTGAGTTAAACAAAACTGTTTTTCTCCAGCTGCACAGAAAGGATCTCGACCTACACTAAAGCAGGGTGACTTTGAAAGTCACACGCACGCTAAAAGGGACTGCGCCGAGGCCAACTGCTTGAAATGGTGCAACAACATTGACCAGCTACAGCTGAACTCCTCTGGCACGGGAACCAAGGCCCTACCTGAGCGGGGCAGTTGGGCAATGGAAGGTTATCTCTTCATGCTGACCTCGGCTTTAGTCCGGCAAATAACACGGTTATTTTTGCGAGCAAGATGAGAAAAAAAAAATAGATCATTTCTATCCCCAGCATCAAAGAACCTGGAGTTTACTGTGCCTTAAAACATGCACAGACAAAACAGTTACAACCCAAAAAGCACCAATAGGTGGTTTTTGTATGAGGATCTCCCAAATCCAGATGTTATGTTAGTTAAGCAGAAAGACACGCACTAGTAACGCTCCAAGAGGTTCCCCTTCTCACCCTTGACATTTTACGCAGGAGGAGAACAGGCTCCCGCGAACGCCTGGGAGGCTTCCTGCTTCTTCTTTGGGATGAGGCAGGGGGAGAAGGTGCGAGAGGGAGAGCAGGAACCGGAGGGGAGAGGCAGAACCGCCGGGAGAACCCGTGCGCTGCCAACTTCCAAAGGGAATAAAGCAGCGAGGTGCCGCGTCCGCGGGCCCCGCGCACTCACCCAGCGCCACCTGGCAGGCCCTGCGCAGCTGCCCGTGCGGCGGCCGCTTCGCCTCCTTCTCGGCCAGGATCTTCTCGAGCGCCCGCGACAC